CTTGACTGTTCACGTGCCTGTCTAAATGTCTAAATCAGTAATAATCTTACAGTCCTGGTTTACTGGCACCTAATTGCAATTTAAATAACTAGTGTGGCAGTAAAAACCAACTGAGGACCTTGTTCATTGAATTTACTTGGCAGGATCAAAGAAATTAGTCTTTTTTTTAATGTTATGGTGGAATGATGCAATTCTTAGTCAACCAAATCAATTACAATCACGAACAACTTTTCTTATACACTTATTAAACACTTGTTTATTAATATCAGCACAGCATAATTTCATGCCCACAATGATTTACAGAAATACGTGCCTTTCTATTGTACACTGTTTAATAGACAGAAATTATATTACACAAAGAAAAAGCACAGACACAGAAAGAGGAATGCTGATCATTTTTCGTCTTGAGAAGAAGCAAATCATTCATAGAAAGAGATCAGTTTTTCTATTTGGCAGTAAAAGAGACAGGAACCACAAAATCAGAGCATGGAAACAGACCCTTCAGTCCAACTAATATACGTCGACCGTGTTTCCAAACCGAACTAGTCCCACTTGCATTTGGCCCATATCCATCCAAACATTTCCTATTCATGTACTTATCTAAATGTCTTTTAAATTTTGTAACTGTATCCTTGGAGGTTATTAAGAAGCCAGCTGAAAGAAAGGTTTAAAAAGCTGTGTAAATAGCTTGGAGATGCTAAAGAGCTAGGTGAATTTCCCAGGAGCTGGGAACTAGAGTGCTATGGTTGCTGGTTGAAAAGTACTGTTTTCATTTATGGCAAAAGGATTTAAAGAAGTGTCAATAACGATACCCCTGAAACTCAGGTCAAAGCTGTTGCTGGATTACAGGACCTATCCTGTATGAATAAAGAGCAGTATATTGTGGACCTGTTTATTATGTTTAGACTGTAAAATATAACTGCAGAGTAGGCCATTTGGCCCACCGAGTCTGCTTCACCATCCAATGAAACTTGGCTTATCGGATAGTCTTCAACTCCACTTTCCTGCCTTTTGCCTATAACCATGGATTTCCTTACTAATGATGTCTGTCCACATCAGATACTTAATGACCCAGCTCTCTGCAGCAAAAAAAATCCATAAACTATCCTGGGTGAAGAAAATCCTCCTTATTTCTGTTTTAACTGGGCAACTGCTTACTCTGAAATTATGCCCTTTGGTCCTAGACTCTCCCACAAGGGGAAATAACCTCTCTTGTTGTCATACTTATTCCCTCTCATACTAACAAAGCTATCCCACCAAGCTTCCCTTCCTGCCTGTGACTTCAGAAGGACGTGCCCTTGAATATCTAGTTCCCAACTTTGAATTTGTAATTAGGTCTCTGAAATGGCTAAAGGATCACATCTATTAACCTCTACTTGAGCCACTAATTCATTTATTTTGTTCTGAATACTATGTCCATTTACGTAAAGAACCTTTTTTTTCAATCATTTTTCCCCCTTTGACCTATTTGCTGCTTTTCTTAATGCTTGCACACACTGTTCCTTTCTGTCTCTATCTGGGTATCATTATCAAAATGTTTTTCCTGCAATGCCACCATATTCTTTTGCTTTTTAAGATAATTTATCCCTCTCCCAAAACCTGTCACTCCTCTAATTAGTTTAATATCCTCTCCACAGACCGAGTCACTCGATTCACCAGAACAGGTCAGGTGACGTGCATCCAACTGGAACAGTTCCCTTCTGCCTGATTACTCTTGCCAGTGCTCCATGAACTAGAAATCATTGGTGTGGAAGACAACTACTAATCTTTAAGCCAGGCACTTAACTCCTTGACTTTATTTACTCAGAGTCAGCTTGCCCATTGCTTAGACAGTAATCCTGAGAAAATTACCCTGGAGTTTCTGGTTTTTAGTTTATTTCCAACTGTTCAAAATCGTGAGCAGAACTTAGTTGTGCCATATACGCTTAAGGGAAGTTTATGCCTGTGCAAATAAATCTTTGACGTATTGACTATTAAACTGAAATTCATCTTTTTATTTGAAGTATCATTTGCCTGTTAATCCATTTTTTATTTATGTTGGTTCCAAGTAATGTTAAAGTAATAATTACAAAAAGTGGAATCATTTGTTTTTTTTTCATTTAGGAGTGATTCAGTAAATTTGGATACTTTGCTTTATGTTCACCCATGGAGATCATAACATCGATCATAAATTGTCAAATACCTGCAAACTCCATTTACAGAATTAATGTTCTTTCTTACTTCAGCAGCAGTGAATTTTTCTCTGGGTCCTGCTGTGATCCACAGTTTCACACCTATCAGTTTTTCTTCCGTGATTTCATCTTTAAAACTGTCAACCACAAGAATGCATTAAGTTTGAATTCATTTTCTCAAAAAAATACCCAATACAAGTTTGTTAAAACATTTGATAAACTTGGTGGTTGTTAGCAATAAGGCTAATCTTAACCCTCAAACATGTATAGTTATAATTCTGTGGACCTGTAACATGTTTGTTTATTTCCTATAACGTCTCAATAAAAGAAAAAATCCACAAAATTCATGGCCTAAATCAGAATTTTGCTATATACAAAAATTCAAGAACTTAAGTGCTAAAAATCACACTCCATCTTAAATAGTCAGTTACATTAAAGAATTTAAAGTAAAATAAAAAAGAATGGTAATACTTTACATCAAACTCATTTGACTCAGACCCCAAGTATCTAAAAGAAATCAGAAGTTTAACCACTTGGTCTAAATACTATTTCAAAGATTCATATAAGGGTTTAAATTTCTTGGGCCTTTTGCTTAGTTTAAGGCAAGGCTGTCTCTTCAAATTTCCTGAAACCACCCCACAGTTATAGACTCCCATTGAACACAAGAGTCACTAGCTTAACTGTAATCACCTTGGGTCAGAAGTCTCCTTCTTCCAGTGTTTTTAACTCTCTCTTCTCAGGTTGGCTATTGCAGAAAACTAATTCACTATTGAGTCCTTCCATTTTGATCGTTTTAGGTAACAGATACAAAATTTCAACAAAACCCTGCTTGAAAGAAACATCCTCTCTATACAGCCTATGTTAAACTAGACCCAAACTGCTCGAACACAGAACTACATCCAGGGACGCACTTACCGCTATATTTAACTTTTGGTCCACCCTTTTTCCCCCTAGTGTTTCTCTCCAGGCAGCTTGGTCACATGATCAATTACTGGAAGGCAGCTGCTTACTATAAGAAGTCCTTCAGAAAAACCTAGCTCTAAAAGGTATCATTACCCCAGTTTTGCTCCTTCCCAAAAGCACATGGACTGTCATAATTTATGTAACTTTCAATCTAGAGAAGAAGTCACAGGTTAAATTATTTTTCATGTTATGACCAGGTATATTTGAAATGTCTCTGATGGACATAACATTCTTGTTTCAGATCCTAAGCATTTCTACAATGTTTATATTTAGGAATTGATAGCACACTACTTTTAAGAGATTACCGAATTTAAACAAAAGATCTTTGCAACTAGTTGTCTAGCTTTGCGACAAAAACAGAAATTGTTGGCGAAACTCAGCAGGTCTGGCAGCATCTGTGGGGAGAGAGCTGAGTTAACTTTTCGCGTTTTTAATCAGAACTTAGTCACCAGACTTGAATGCTTTCTCCCCACAGATGCTGCCAGATCTGCTGACTTTTGTCAGCAAATTCTGCTTTTGTTTCAGATCACCAGCACCCACAGTTCTTTGATTTATTATAGTTGTCTAACTTCCTTAACATTTATAATCTCAAGTAATTTTTTTTAATGACAATGGTTCGCTAATACATAAAATTATGAGAAATTGCACGTCTTTGAACCAACTATACTAAATTAAATTTTGTGTGGGTCAGATTTCAAGTCACCTATGACATAGTAAAGGCGTCTTTGAACCGATTTTTAACAAATAGTGCAAGCAACCTTATTGTCTTTCCTTGTATATTAGCCTGACTTCAAGAAGAATCTTCAATCTGTTTCTGAATTTCAATACAGGCAATGTTCTGTATGTCTTACTTCACTGTTCTGCTATACGCTATAATAGGAGTTGGTCAGACACTCAATAAGATTTGTGTCACATGACGCAACTGTTGTCAAATATGAGAGCCATTAATCACATGATGCATTTTCAATGCAGTTATAGTTCTTTTTCCTGATTTGCAAATAAAAGGTAATGAAACATTTAACGGGCAGTGGTCTCAATATCCTCCATTCAGCGGAAGCATGTGTGGTTTATACTCAGAGTTTGTTAGTAAAATGATAATACAAGAAACTAAATGTGAATATTTTCTTTGAAACTTTTGAGAGCTTTACTTTCCTGTTTACAGAATAGTGATAGCATCTTTACCCATTTTGTGTGAATTTATACAAGGCATTTTCAACTAAAAGTAGTGTACGTCATTGAAAACAATGTCACTGTTGTCACACCAGTGGCGAGTCAACAATTTCTACCGACTGCACTGATGTAAATATTTTCAACATGATTCAATGCTCACGTTAGTGAAGAAAACAGTTTTAGATATTAATAATGGTAAACATTTTGAAGCAAAACTAATTACTGCAATATATATGACTGATTTTCATTCTGTTTAATAAACATTATCTATTTTAGTTTCAGTCAAATCGGGTTTGTCAGTATGGTATCTTTCCTCAGTTGGTGTCCGTTCTCAGTTGGTGTGGTCTACAGCTTTGTGTATTTCCAGTGCACAGTCAAATATTAATTTTCTGGATTCTGTTTATAGCTTGGGAAAGTATTTAAAACAAGAAAAGTACCTCGTCTTAAATACTTGAGTATTTAAGGTGGGTCTGAAATACAGACATCACAAGTTAAATATGCAAATAAACACCTGCCTTTGTATCTTCCAGTTGGTTCGAAGTTTCTTCTGCAATGACTTGTAACCACTACTGACGGTAAAGAGTTCTTTTTTTGATGCATTGAAAACTATTATATTTCGTTGATCCTTCTCCATGGTTTCCTAAAGAAAAAGAAAACTTTTAATCACTATGTTTATAGCATTGTGGAAATTAAACAGGAATTTGAATTCAAACCTAACCTCACTCCCTTTCACTCTTCCAACAGTAAAAGGTAAAACTGATGAACAGTAGCACTCTCTGATACAAAGTACATTACATGTGTGAATTTGACCATAAATCAGGTTGTACAAAACTGTTCCTCCTACTTAAGACACACGTCTCAAATTTCTACTAATGTGTAGTTAACCACAGCATAAAGAACTACATGGTTTGCATTAAAATATTATTCCTCCACCTACAGTTAGTAGCTGCACAGATTAAAACAATCCATTTCTATACTGAGGAACCTTACAAGTACAGCACTCAGTTGAGACATCACAGTGGCTGGAGTCCTGAGTTAGCAAGCAAGTAAAATATTTTGCTATCCTGATCACCATATGACACCACCTTTGGAAGGGCAGATAAGTAGGAAAACTACTGGGATGTGCACAAACAATAAGGTGGTAATGCACAGAGATATCAATTACCCTAATATTAATTGTGATAAAATCAGTACAAGCAAGGTATAAATTGCACAGTTATTGCACTGCTTTCAGCAGAATTATATTTTTAAAGCCAGCATTTACAAGCTCAATAAGAGATGGGGCGATCCGGACTTGCTTTTAGGAAATGTAGCTGGGCAGGCAGAAAAGGTATCAGCGCAACTGCATTTTGGTAAGTGATTATAATTCGGATAAATTTAATGTAGTTATAGAAAAAGATGAATACAGTCAAAGTGTAAAAGATTTAAACTGGGAAAAGGGTAACTTTATCAAGTGGAGATATGATTGAGGGTGGAAATAGCCTCTTGCAGGTAAATTGGTGTCAGAGCAGTGGGAAACATTCAGAAGATTCTAGAAGGTTCAAGGCAAATGTGTTTCTAGAAAGAGAAAAAAAAAGAGTGAGACTCTCAAATCTAGATCCTTCCGCTATCCAAACGTCAAACACAGAAAGATAGAAGATAGGAGCAGGAGGAGGCCATTCAGCCCTTCCAGCCTGCTCCGCCATTCTTGATGATCATGACTGATCATCCAACTCAATAGCCTAATCCTGCTTTCTCCCCATAACCTTTGATCCCATTCACCCCAAGTGATACATTTAGCCACCTCTTGAATACATTCAATGTTTTGGCATCAAAAACTTCCCGTGGTAATGAATTCCAGAGGCTCACCACTCTTTGGGTGAAGAAGTGTCTCTTCATCTCCGTTCTAAATCGTCTACTCCGAATCCTTATACTGCGATCCCTGGTTCTGGACACACCCACCATCATGAACATCCTCCCTGCAACTACCCTGTCCAGTCCTCTTCGAATTTAAGTCCCTATGAGATACCCCCTCATTCGTCTGAACTCTAGCGAAAACAATCCGAATCTAGTCAATCTCTCCTCATACGTCAGACCCGCCATCCCCGGAATCAGCCTGGTAAACCTTCGCTGCACTCCCTCGAGAGTAAGAGCATCCTTCCGCAGAAAAGGAGACCTAAACTACTAAACAGGGTAGGATAAAGAAAAATGAAAGCTGCGTTAGATACCAGAGCTCAATACAGCATTAAGACTACAACAGTGTAGAAGGTAAACAGCTAAAAGTACAAAAAAAATTAAAAACATGGAAAGGATAGGGAAAATAATTTGGAAGTAAAATTTAAAACAAGTTAGTTTTTTTTGTATTTCTAAAACATAAGGTGATAACTAAGGAAAATGTGGAACCGATGACATTTGTGGTCATGGAGAGGAGGGTTTGAGTGAGATATGGAGACCCAGAATTTAGCTTTGGGGGAGTCTCAGCCAGTGCCCTTGTCCACTCAGTATGGGGTTGATGCTCTTGGAGTAGATGCCAGCACAAACTGTAGGAAGGATGAGCGATCTTACCAAAGTGCCATGCTCCAAAGTGCTATTCAACTGGGGAAAAAAGGGAAATGTAGTAATAATATGTAATAGCATAGATAGGGAAATACATACTGCTCTATGCAGCAAGACAAATCCTGAAAGCTATGTTGTCTACCTGGTTCCAAGGTTCAAGACTACTCCCCTGGGCTGCAGAAAACTTGGAGTAGGAGGGGAAATGATCCAATGGTCCACTTAGATACTAATGATACAAGGTAGGTCTAGGAAAGAGGCTCTGCTGAAGGATTACGAGCAGTTCAGGGCTGAATTAAAAAGTAGAACCAAAGATAAGGTAGTAAGTTCTGGAATTATTACCTGAGCCACATGCAAATAGGTGTAGAGTAAATACAATGAGAGACCTAAATGCTTAGCTCAAAGATTGGTATGGGAGAAACAGGTTCTGATTCATGGGGACTGACACCAGTGCTAAGGATAGAAACAGCTGTTCTAATGGGACATGCTATATTTGAATCACGCTGGGACCGGTGTCCTGGTGAATTGTACATTTAGGATTGTAGATAGGTATAAACTAATTAGTTGGTAGGACAGTTCAACTGAAGCGAAGTTTAAAAATAAAAAGAAACAAATGTGCAAAGGTACAGGGTGGTGAAGAAGTGAATGATAATAAAAGGGTGATAGAAAGGGGTAGGACAGAAGAATGCAGCAGAAATTAAAATCAGAATAAGTGATAATGTAAAACATCTAAGCTTAAGGTCTTTATTCGAATGCATGTAGCATTTGTAAACAGATAGAAGAATTGACAGCACAAAAATAAATAAATGAAAATGTCTTGATAGCTTTTGAAGACATGGGTGGAGGGTGACCAAGTGGGAATTCAACATTCCAGGAATTTCGTCATTCTGGAAGAATAGGCGAAAAGGAAAAGGAGGTTGGGTAATATTTTTATAAAGGACGCTATCATTACAGTGGTGGGTCATGATATGACTGCAATAGATTATGATGTAGAATCAGTTTATGTGGAAATAAGGAATAGCAAGAGAAAAAAGTCATAATGAGAGTCATCTGTAGGCTCCCAAAGAGCTGCCTCATTGGGTGACAAATTATAAATCAGGAAATAATGGAGGTATGTAACAACAGCACTACAATTGTCATGGGTGATTTTAATCTGCATATTGACTGGACAAATCAGATCCGCAAGGATAACATAGAAAACATATTTGTAAGTTTGTTTTTTCAAGCAATGTGCTGCAAAACCTACCCATGAAAAGGCAATTTTAGACTTACTAATGTGTAACATGATAGGACTAATAATAGATCCCTGAGATAAAGATTCCCTGGGGGTAATGATCACAACATGGGAGAAATTCAGTTTCAGGAAGAGCAACTCGGATCTCAACCCAATACCCTCAACTTAAATATGGGCAATTCAAGAGGTATGGAGAGGAAAAGAAAAGTTGTCTAAAGCAGGAAAATGGACAAATGGGAAAGCCAATAGAGAAGCAGTGGCAGATATTTCAAATGCTCAGCAAAAATTATTTTCCGGTTGAAAAGTTCTTGATGAGGAGGTTGAACTACCATGAGCCATCAAAAGCTGTCAAGTAGAGTATCTGATCAAAAACTAAAACATAAAAAGCTATGCAAACTACTAGTAGGCCAGAGGACTTGGTAAGTTGTGGAACCAGCTCCAGATGACTAAAAATACTAACAAGGAGGATAAAAATCACCTATGACAGTAAACTGATGAGAAATACAAGGAAAAAACAGCAAGAGCTTCTAGGGCTATTTCAAAAGAGAGTAACTAAAGTAAATGTGGCACCCTTGGAGGATGCATCTGGAAGAATTAACAGGGTGCTCCGGTTTCCTCAGTCCAAACATGTGCTTGTTAGGTGGATTGACCATGCTAAATTGCCTAGTGTCCAGGGATGTGCATGTTAGATGGCTTAGCCATGGATAATGCAAGGTTACAAGGATAGGGTAGGGACTGAGTCTGGGTGGGATGCTCTATGGAGCGTCGGTGTGGACTGGATGAGCTAAATGAGCTGCTTCCACACTGTACAGATTCTATGATTGTACAATGGTGTGATTACATAAGAATATAACAAATCTAAACTCTTTTATTCAAAAAAAAGGGGAAAGTGTCAGAAAGCGGGAAACGGAGGCCAGTCAGCTTAACAGCTGTCACAGGAAAAAAATGTTAAAAGCTATTATTAAACAAACTGTAGTAGGGCACTTACACAAGTTCAAGGTAATCAGGGAGAATCAATGTGATTGTGTGAAGGGGAAAACACATTGAACGAATCTTTTGGAGTTTGTGGAGGAAGTAATGAGCTGTGGACAAAGGAGAAACAATGGATGTATTATACTTAGATTTCTAAAAGATATTTGACAGTGTCACATCAAAGCTTATTGCTGAAAAAAAGTGTTCACTGTGTGGTTGGGAAGCATTTTGGCAGACAAATGGATGATCTTTTTCAGATTGGCAAATGGGTGGCATGCCACAGGGATCAGTGGTGCGATCTCAGCTATTTAGAATTTATATGAATGACTTTGCTTTAGGGATGGAAGGTATGGTTGCCAAATTTGCTGATAACACAATGATATGGAGGAAAGTAAATTGTGAAGAGGGATAAGGAGGCTACACAAATAGATATAGTTTAAACAAGTAGGGAAAGATTTGGCAAATGTGAAAAAAATATGAAATCACCAAGAGTGACTATTTACAAATGTCTGCGTTTGTTACCAGCAGTGAATGTGCACTGTGTGCCACTTTAAATCATGGATTTAAATAGTTTCAGAGGACTTAGCCTGGGACCATGGAGCGGGTAAGCGGAACCCTTGACAGGTGGTGGGGAAGAAATCAGGACCCAGGAGAAGAGCTTGATCAAGACCCCCTGGGAGGGGGTTTTCAGGGGAGAGGGGAACTCCTTGCTCCTCTGTTTCTTTTTCCCAACTTGTCCAATTTTCTAATATAAACCAAAAGAACTGCAAGATGCTGTAAATGAGAAACAAAAACAGAAATTGCTGGAAAAGCTCAGCAGGTCTGGCAGTATCTGTGCAGAGAAGTTAGAGTTAACGTTTCAAGTCAAGTGACCCTTCCTCAGAACCCCTGCAGAGATGAAGCAATTTTTTTTATCTGAGGACTGTAAATCTTTAGAACTTTCTTCGTAAAAAAGCAGAGGAAGCAGAGTCTTCTTCTATTCTTAAGGCAGATGTGGACAGATCCTTGCTGGGGAAGTGGATGAAGGATTATCGGGTTAGTTGAGAAAGTAAATTTGAGATTATAATCAGCCATTTTATTAAATTGTGAAGTAAGCCAGAGGGACTAAATAGCCAAACAAGCACCTGATTATTCTGTTTACATGTTCCCTCTACTTATCTGGGAACCCTATTTATACAGCAATGCATGAAATTCATAATTCAGTACACAGCAAGATGATTCTGTTACTGCTAGATTACAGACTACAAACAACAAACTAGATGGGTGA